CCTGAGCCTCTCCGCTTCCACCCTCAGCTGCGCTCAGCGGGCGCCCAGGTGATCCAGGACTTAGTGTGCGATGCTAGCGCAGTGAGCTCCCTGGATCTGTCGGATAACGGTGAGGCCGCCCGGAAACCCGTCCTCCCACTACCCCCACAATGCTCACTCCACCCGCATTCCCGCAACATCGCCCAGGCGTGACCCCAACCGCCCCCAGGCTTCGGCTCGGACATGGTGACTCTGGTGCTGGCCATCGGGAGGAGTCGTTCCCTGCGACACGTGGCCCTTGGAAGGAACTTCAACGTCCGGTGCAAGTGAGCCCCCATCCCACTCTTGGGCCTCCCAGACAACACCCCCGCCACACCTGGGCCCCCACCTCCCACCCCAACTGTGGCCCATGCCCACAGGGAGACCCTGGACGACGTCCTGCACCGGATTGTCCAGCTCATGCAGGATGACGACTGTGTGAGTTCACGGGACCAAGTGGGATTCTCAATCAATGGGCCCCTGTGACCGCTCCCCCCCCCCAATCCTGCTCCCTCAGACCTTGTGGCCTGCCCTCCTTGCTGACCCCTGAGTGACAAATGGCTTTCTCTTAACCCCAGCCTCTGCAGTCTCTGTCTGTGGCCGAGTCGAGGCTGAAGCTGGGCGCCAGCGTTCTGCTTCGGGCCCTGGCCACCAATCCTAACCTGACAGCCCTGGATATCAGCGGCAACGCCATGGGAGACACGGGTGCCAAGATGCTGGCCAAGGCGCTCCGAGTTAACACCCGACTCCGGTGGGCGGGGCCAGAGGGGTGGGGCCAATGGGGAGGAGGGCGTGGCTTGAAGGAGTTTGCTGGGCTAAGGGGTGGGGCTGATTGGAGGGGGATGAACCGGGTCCTTTGATTGGGTGTGGCCTGAAGGAGCTCCGCCCCCGGCTGAAGCCCCGCCCCTCCCGGCCCAGGTCTGTGGTCTGGGACCGGAATCACACATCTGCTCTGGGCCTGCTGGACGTGGCTCAGGCTCTGGAGCAGAACCGAAGTCTGAAGGCCATGCCTCTGCCACTGACCGACGTGGCCCAGGCGCAGCGAAGCCGCCCGGAAATGACAGCACGTGCAGTGCATCAGGTGTGGGGGGTCCCTTCTCTGCTGCTCTGCTCCCCGTGGTGGGCCCCCCCCCACTTACCAACATCCTTTGTCCCTAGATCCAAGGGACGAGCGCGCACACACACACACACACACACACACACACACAGCTGAGAAAGAACTTAGTAGGGAGAGTCTGAGTATGAATGAATATGAATATGATCCAGGAATTTTTTTCTCACAGTGACTCACCAACATCCCTTGTCCCTAGATCCAAGCCTGTCTCTTGAGGAACAACCACACAGACCAGGCCTCTCCTGCCAGCACCTCATGCCAGCAGCCACTAGGTCGGGTCTCTAGTCCCTCCGAGCAGGTCAGTGTCCCCTCCCTAAACCTTGAGTACAAACAGAAGATAGGGAGATGGGGAGAACTGTGGCACCTGGGAGCCTCCATGGGTCTGAAGGACTGGCTTTCTGGGGGCCGGGTGTCTAAAGTCCATTGTTCCAGACAATTCCCTCTCCTTGGTCTGGAGAGGAACCACTCATTCCTGAAGTAGTTCCCCCAAATAATACCACTGGCAGCCTTTTTATTTTTTATTTTTTCTTTCTTTCTTGATTAAGGTATTACATGTGTCCTTATCTCCCCCCCTCCGCAGCCTTTATAAAGCATTTAATTAGGCTCTCCTGTTAAAGATGGAAGGTGTTTAAAAATCTCCCCTCAATTCCCCCCGCCCATTGTAGCCCCACATGTGACTTCCCATTTACAGGTCTCCCTTCCCCTCTTCACTGACCTGTTGTGGCCAACCCAGTGGCCATTCTTCTGGCTTCATCTCCCTCCGCTACCTTCCCTTTGTGAGAAATGTTCCCACCTCTCCATTCCCAAATCCCACTTCTCTCCCAAGCTCCAGAGCCCAGGCACCTTGACCCAGACTCCTACAGGGGCTTCCCACGCTATATATTTTCAAGTGATCGCATATCTCCCACAAACTCTTCTCTCTACCCTGGGCCCTGTCTCCCTGGTGCCCACCCCCATGAAGTACTGCAGACAGAGGTTTGAACCAGGCCTCCCCTGCCCACGTTGGGGCCTGCACAGACCTCTTCACCCCATCCCAGCTCTCCCTTGCCCCCCTCGTAGTTCTTCCTCTATGGTGCCTCACTCCCCTTTCTTCCCACCTCTCAGTCTATTCTTCAGGTGGGTGGTGAGCAAACAGAACTTCTAAAACACAGACATGACTAAACGCTCCTTTTTTTCTATTCTGTACACTTAGGAAGTATATATAAGCCCCTGCAATGAGGCACTGCTCTCCCTCCTTGAACAGATAGGCTGGGCCTGGTGGTATTGGCTTCAGGACCTCACACCCTGTTGGAGACCCTGGGAAGAAGGCAGTCAGGGTTTCGGGGACTGGAAGGGACCAGACTGAGACTGATTCTTGATGCTCCTCAGGAAGTGAATGAACTTTGCCAGTCGGTGCAGGAGCTGGTGGAGCTGCTGGGCTGTGGTGCTGGGCCTCAAGGTGAAGCTGCCGTGCACCAGGCCGAGGATGCCATCCAAAATGCCAACTTCTCTCTCAGTGTGAGCACACCCTCCCATTATGAGGACCCTTCCCCTCTTCGCTAGGCATCACCTTGCAACTCCTGTTCCTCCTTGATCTCCAGATTCTCCCCATTCTATATGAGGCAGGAAGCTCCCCAAGCCATCAGTGGCAGCTGCGGCAAAAGCTGGAGGGCCTCCTGGGGCAGGTGGGCGAGGTCTGCCGCCAGGACATTCAGGTGAGATGGCACCCTTGCCCGAGCCCCACCTCCATGTGTAGGCTTGACCCTACCCCGTAGGCTTGACTGGGTTAATAGCCCCTGAGTTAAGATTCTGTGGGGGTCAGAGCCTCACGCCATCCAGTCTAGCCCTAGTCACACCCTCACCATGCATGCTCTGACCTTTGCCCAGGACTTCACTCAGGCCACACTGGACACAACAAGGAGCCTCTGCCCACAGATGCTGCAGGGACCCAGGTGGCGGGAGCAGCTAGAGGGGGTCCTGGTGGGCTCAAGGGGCCTCCCAGAGCTGCTCCCAGAGCACCTGCTGCAAGATGCCTTCACTAGACTCAGGTAGGCCGGATGGGGCTGGGCTGGGCTGGGCAGAGACAGCACACTGATCCTTACCCTTTCTTGCCCTCAGGGACATGCGGCTGTCCGTCACAGGGTCCTTAGCAGAGAGCATTGTGGCTCAAGCTCTGGCGGGTCTGAGTGCAGCACAGGATCGGCTGGTGAGGGGAAACTGCGCTTACACACACATACACACACACTACCTGGTAGGGACTCTCTCATGTCTTCTGGGGTCATAAAACCCAGGGATACTTTAGGGTTCCCTAGGTGCTGATGGGGCTACGGCTGGGGCCCTACCTACCCATCTCTGGGGTGCCTGGTATTGCAGGTGGCGAGTCTGGCTCAGCAGACAACAGTGGCAATGCCCTCTGCCACACTGGCCCTGGAAGGCCAGCCCACCCCCTTTGGGCCTGGGAAGTTGGAAGGCCTTTTCTTCCCTGAGGAGAAGGAAAGGGAGGATGAAGAGGAGCGGAAGGTAGGTGCTGCCAGAACTCTGGGCCTGGAACCCTAGATCTTCCCATCTTGTTCTGGAGTATGGAAGGTGGGGAGGCTCGCTTGCCCCAGGCCTAGTTTGTGCCCTCCCCAACAGAACGGCAGTCCTCCACGGAAATGGCCTGAGTCCAGCCCCTGTCTTCACCTGGTTCCCTCCGCTCACAGTAAGTCAGGGCTTGGGGAAGGGGGAGTTACTCAGTTGGGCTGAAGCTCCATTAGACCTGAACACCTGGACACAGTCATTCAGCCCTGTTGTCCTGGAAACTCACCCTTGCCTGGACCAGGCCAGGAACCCCGTGCACCCTGCAACGTTGGGGTCTGCTGTGGTCAGTCAGCATGGAGCAGGATCTGAGCAGAACAGGGCCTGGCCCCTGCGCCTTGCTCCCTGAGGCACTAGAGCCAGAAGAGACTAGTTCCTCCCCGCGCCCTGGGCGGGTCCCCTGCCGCCTTAGCGCCGCCACTGCCACCTCCCGGAGCTCCTCCGTGCTCTGTGCTCTTCTGGTGCTCTCCCCTCAGGTGCTGCTGAGGAACCGGAGCCCGAGCTGGCGGCTCCCGGGGAGGCTGCGGAGCCGCAGGCG